TTGGTGTCAATAGTAGGGAAATCCTATGAATCTGTTATGTGATAAAGGGATCCTTAAAATAACTCTGGACAGAGTCAACATGGGTTTCTGAATAGGAAAACTTGTTTGACAAACTGGTTGGAATTTATTTTTTGATTATGCTGCTTGTAACATATATAAAGGAGATCCAATGGTGCGCTATGTTGGATTTTTAGAAGGCTCTTAGTAAGGTCCTACATAAATGTTTAGTAAACAAAATTAGAACACACAGGATTGAGGGTAATATGCTGCTGGAAAAATGGAGTTAATGTTTCAAGTCCAGTATGACTTTGGAAGATGGTGGAAATGTGATTGGGGGGAAGATGCAGTGTGGTCAAGGGATTTGGACAGGCTTAGTGTATGAATAAGAACATGGCAGATGGTATAACGTGACTAAGTGTGAAATTATTCACTTTGGTAGAAGAAACAAAGGCTGAATATTTCTTAAATAGTGAGAGGTTGTAAAGTGTTGATATTCAAGGAGGTCCTCCTTGATGCATCAGTAAAGGCTAGCATGTGGGTGGAGCAAGGAATTAGGAAGGCAAATAGTTAGTTGACTTTCATCACAAGGGTCTTTGAGTACCAAAATAAAGATGTTTTGCTGCAATTGTATTGAGTCTTGTTGAGACTGCACCCGGTGTATTGTGTAGAGTTTTGGTCTCCTTATCTAAAGAAGAATGTACCTACACTGTAGGAGTATAGTGGAGGTCCACGAGGCTAATTCCCACGATAGTGAGATTGTCTTCTCAGGAGACATTGATGAAACTGGGCCTGTATTCCCCGGAGTTGCAAAGAATGGGAAGTGATTTCGTTGAAACTTGCAAAGTCATTGTGACAAGGTGGACATGGATAGGATGTTTCCCCTGGCTACTAGGTCTAGCACCAGGAATGCAATCTCGGACTTGGGTCAAGTCATTTAAGACAGAAATTAGAAATTTAATCGCTGGTTGAAATTTTCTACCTCTGACGGCTGTGGAAGCTTGATTATTCTTCATTCTTAATCTTTCTTCTTATCTAAGAAGACATCAGGGGATATGAGATAATGGGGGAAAATCCAAAGAAGGTGGTGAACAGCTATAATCTGTTTAAATGGTAAAGAGGGAGTGATGGTCTGAATGGATTAGTCCTGCTCTTCTTTCTTGTGTACAGTGAAGTTCTGATGAAAGGACAGCTCAACTTGAAAGTTTCTCTCCAAAAATGCTGTTTGATTTGCTGAATATTTCCTTTTTTTTAATTTCTGTAATCATGAACTGCCATTGTATTCCTCTGAACTCTTCTTTAGCCTTGTATCATTGAATCAGTTTCACTAAATACGATGAATCTATTTTTATTGATCACATCATCTTGTGATTTGAATTTTGCTTCACAGCAAAAAAGCTTGCTGCAATTAAGTGATGCTACCAAGTCTAGTTTTTCACCTTTAACCAAAATGCTTATTGCTTGTTGTGCATGACTAGAATCAACACAGTTCCATTTAGGGCTCTTAGTAATTTTTCCAGCTGATATTGACTTAACTTTCATCATACAATAACTTGGGAATCCAACTGACTGATGTACCCATGTCAATCTCCAAGTCTGCTGGCTTCCATATATCACTAATTGAACCATGAAGTCATGCAAATTTCTACAGAGCATTAATTATGTCTGATTTTGAATCTTAACCGGCCACTAATCAGTCTATTCTTTGACAGTTCTTTGCAATGACTGATCTTTCCTCTAGCTAATTTTTTTCAGGTTGACTTCTTGTGACGTGTCTGGGCAAGGTGATCCATACTTGGAGCTGTATCACTCTGCCTTCACCATTGGAGAATTGTCTAATGCTGGCCTAAGCACCAACAACAAGTCTTTCTTATACCACTGGTAAGACGAGAGGCTGTTGTTGGGGTCTTCTGCATACGCAACTGCAGCTTATCTACCTCCTGCCTGAAGATTGTTAACTCTCTGACATTTCTCATCATATTCTGCCAAATCCATGGGCCAGCACAGCAAGGTGTTTCAGGGATCAGTGTGAGTGATGTCATCTACTTCCTTTTGAACGTGCTCATTCTTTAAAGCTGCAAACAAACCCGTCTCAACATGCTGTCTTCAAATTCTAAAAAAATTCGAATGAATTGACAATTTTTTTCAAGGCTACGATGAGCTTCTCCAATGTCCCCTCTAAGGAGTCTTTTTCTTACTCTAAAATGATAGCTTGCTGTAATCTCTAATGGCTTGGTGTTGTACTATGGCTCAAACTTAATCAAAATGGCTAATGGCATCAGGTCTTTTAGCTTTGCTGCTATGAGCAGATTCTTGATCACTTGTGCTTCTATGCCTGGCTCAAACAAAAATATCAACCTTTTTCTTTCCACCACTTTCTGGTTGGCAGCTGGATTGTCAAGATCTTTGAGAGTATTGTTACAAATAAAAAGCATTTGTAAGTGCTTCAGGTATACCCCTAAAGGTTTGGTCACAGCGGTATGCTCCAGTCACCCAACAAATACTGTAGGCATAGCAATCTTTGCGTACAACATCGATTTTAGACAGATATTAAGCCTTCTCCCTCAAAGAAGAGCACTCAAGTTCCTCAGTTGATTAGCTGGAAACTTTTCTGACTCCATTTTTTTCATATAGGAAATCCATGATCTTTATTGTTGTCACCAAATTTGTCACATCTTAACAGATATTACCAATTGTGTGGACAACCTTGGTGTTGGTACCAGGCTAGTTTATTACAGTTTTGCCATAATATGTAACCGTATAAATGGCCAGAAGGATAATGTGATTTGACTTTCTCCAAAGTTTATTTTAGGCTGTACATTTTGATATTTGAGTCCGATTTGTTGATCAGTATACGTTGCATTTTCTCTGCAAAAAGACTTTTTTCTTTGTTTTTTTTAACCCTTATGGCACTAGCTGCTGGATTTGTTGCGTTTCCCACAAATGTTTTGCCCATCAGTCTCTTGAAACCTTGAAAGTATTAATTAATTCATTCATTCATCTGTTCATGGCATTGTGGGTGTCACTAGCTAGACCAGCATTTATTGTCTGTCCTTGATTGTCCAGAGGTCACTTAACACTCAGCCACATTGCTGCGGGTCTGGAGTCACATGTAGGCCAGAGCAGGTAAGCTCAGCAGTTTCCTTCCCTAAAGGACATTCTTATACCATTAATAAGAATTGAAAAATAACACCAAAATGACTGTTTTTAAATAACTCTGTGTTGAATATTTTTGAGCAAATGTACTCTTGAAGTCATTAGCCATATGTAATTTGTTTACAGATATCATGCAGTTTTATTGTTCATCTTTTCCTTTCACAGAAAAGCTTTTAAAATTATGCACAGTTAATGTTTATTTTCTCAAGTGCATTCATTGAGTTGTTCACTAAATTTGCCCTGTGCTCATTTGGAGTGAATGGCATTGTAAATGTATTATTTTCACACACTATTGCTAGTGAATGTTACAAGCTTTATCTGTTGATGTAGAATTTTCTTAGCATTTGTTTTGGGGACATCTTTATTGTGTCATTGGAAAGAAGTACCATTTGAAGAGGTACTGAGTCATATGGATCACAACAGTCTTGATTTTGAATTTTGAAGTATAATGAGCTAATTGCTATACTAAGAATACCCAAGGCTAGGAGTGGGGGAGGGACAATAATCGAAAAATCTCATTTGAGCATAAATTACTGTAGGCTACGTCTAAATTCTCAAGTGTCTAAGATCTATAAGCATAAGTGGAAGAGTACTTCAAGATGGTTACTGCATTGAAAGAATTTTTTTTAAAACCCTTCAGCATATGTTGCCTCCTTGGTACAAGATAGCATGAAAGCTTTCATTTGTACTTCTGTCACCTGCCAGATAATAATGGCTGCAGCATAGACATCAGCTTGTAAGAAGGTTAAGTTATAGACAATGGGTTAGAATTAGCAACTATAAGTTGTTGACATCAAAAAAGCTGCCCACTAGGATTTTGAAATCTCTCTGATGTGCTGACTTCACTTTGCTAGTTAGTTGGTTTCTGACCCAAATCAAGGTAATCTGTGTCCTACACTTTTGATGTCATCGAACAAGATAAGCAGCCAAGCACATTGAAATAATCTCACGGCGTGTATGTTCCCAACGCAGGAGATCGGCACTGCCATTAAGCATGGCCGCTGTGATCCATCTGCGCGTGCATAGTTGCACCCGTGATGCCACACCAGCTGTTGACGGTAATTGAAGCAATTCACAGTTTCTTTATTTTTATGTAATTTTTTGGCACAAATTGGGTCCAAGGATCTTGACTTTCAATTTTCCCCCAGAATCATTTCTTCAAAATTTACATGTATTTCTTTGGCTGTGATTACTTTATTTATATTTATTTAGAATGCGTAGGACCTGCTGCTAAATGCAAGTTTAAAAGCAGCATCCCAATTCTGTGCACCCAGATGTGATTCTTCGCATAGCAAAGGCATTGGTCCCAAATTCAACCATATTCTCAAACTGCAAAGCATGAAATAAAAACACTGAATTACTCCCTTTTTTTTTCAGGATGTGTTCAGATGTTTTCCTCTTATTGTAACATTCCTTGCTGTCCTATATCTAGGTTGGGTTAGAGTACCATTACGGAAGGGAACTAATATTCTTTTAGCATGAAGCTTCAATTTGAAGACAAAAATCAAAATACCGTGGGTATTAACAATATGAAGTAAGAGAAAATGTTTAAAATATTCAGTCTGTCAGGCATCATTTATAGAAAGGGAATGTATTATTGTTTGATCTCAGTGGCCTTTATCAGTTTTAAGATATTTATGTGGAGAAAGCATTCTACTTTACCCATTACTTGATGACAAATGCACTTCTAATTACTGTTACTTTGAATTCTAGTTCAAAACCAAATGCTATTCTTTGGTTATTTGTAAAATTTTCAACTTGAACAGAAATTTATAAACTTAAAAGCAGCGTATTTTCATACAATTTAATAATAAGCCACAGACCTACATGTGTTTGGTATATTTCAGGAGACCAGGTATCAGTTGCTTCAGCTTCGCCCTGCTCAGCGAGCGTCCTGGATTGGCTATGCTATTGCATACCATTTACTGGAAGATTATGACATGGCTTCTAAAATTCTAGAAGAATTCAGAAAGACACAGCAGGTATGCTATAGTGTACTCATAGCTTTAACAGTAGTTTGATAGAATTTGTTCAATTCTCCCCAGCAAACAACTTCGTTTCCCTACCCTATCTTCCTGATGACAAATCCATGGCAACTGCCATCTGAAAGTACAGGAGCGGCAGATACATGGGAACACCACGGTCTGCATGTTCGCATCAAACCATTCACCATCCTGACTTGGAAATATACTTGCTGTTCCTTCACTGTCGATTTGTCAAAACCCTAGAGCTCTCCCGAATTGTATTGTGGGTCTACTATTCCAAATGGATTGCAGTGGTTCAAGAAGGTACTTCACATTTTCAAGGGTAATTGGGAATGGTCAATAAATGCAGGCCTAGTCAGTGACACCTATATTCCATGAATTAATAAAGTGCAGCTAGAAATATTGAATGCCCATTTGTTTTTTAAGATCATTCTATTATTACTACTATTACAGAGGAGTGGTTGACACCTCTGATAATTAAAACCAAAACAGCCAGAGAGGCTCGTCTTGCCTCAGTCTGTTAAAGGGAATGTGAAAAGTGGTATACCTGTCTCTCACCTCTCATTATCTTTATAAAGGAGAGGTGAAATAAGATGAGCTCCTGACAGTCACTCTACAATCAACAAGTAACAACTTATTTATCTAACTCAAACAGTTAACTAATTAACAGAACTACTTACAAACCAAACAATTCCCCCTTAACTACGAACTATTCCAGAATAAAACAAAATTCTAATGGTATGCTGTTCCAATAAATACAAATCTCACTTATATAAGTCAATGAAATAAGAAAAATAAATTAAAACTTAATCTATCGAAATTACAGTCAGGATAAATCTTCTGGAATGTTCTTTGCCTTCTCCGCTGTCCTCCAGCCTTCCCCTGTCAAATTCTTGTGTCAGGAATATTAGCTAAGAGTGCCATAATACATTTTTTTTTAAAAATGGTGCTTACTGTGAGAGATTATAGATTTCTGTGAGAGCCCGAGTTTTACTCTTCTGATGGCAGTTTGCAGTCTCACTGACTTTCAAAAATCCTCTTCTTGTAAAACCTTAATGACTCATTAATTTTCTTACAATAGGATTGGTTTATATGTGTCAACACCATCAAATTTAAACTCAGTTGGTTTTTAGTCTCTAAGTGCCTGGATAGTCAAGCTGGTTACCTTAACATCAAAACAAGCCTAGGTTGCTAACCATACAGCCAGTTGATACACAAGTCTCGATTTAAGTACTGTCTGTGCTTCTGTAGCTGCTTGCAGACATTTTTTTTTTATCTCCAAGCTTAGTAAAGCACATCACCTGTTAAAGGGACCATGCACCCTTCCCTCCCCTATCATTTTTACAAACAACTTCTAACATCCTGCCTTCCAGTTCACAAGTACAGTACCTAAATTCGCAACACCATAATCATAATCTTTTGTATTGCATCTTGCGATATGTGCATTTGCAGTGATTTAATATGCATCATATTTCCACACCCTGATTCTTCATTTTTCTGAATTATGTTGTATTCTAATGCTTATCTCTCCCAATTCTCAGTGCATCTTTTACCTCCCCTCTCTTTCATCCCAGTTCTTCTTTCCCTTCCATATTATTGACCATCTCATTACCACTAGCTAACCTTATTGTGTGGACCTTTGTCCCATCCCTGTTAATCCTTGTGCCCCAGAACAGAGCCCAGGAATCAGAATCCCTCCCTTTTGCAGCCTTTCTCCAATCACGCATTAACTCACACATTATCTGTTTATATATGTTATATATAATGTTTATTGGCATTGTTGGCTGGGGCATTGCTAGGTCTGGAGCATATACCTTCATTATTACTGCTGGGATGCTGTCAAGTTTCATAGTCTTCATCTAATGGCGGTATCTGTTGTTTCAGCTGTTGCTCAATATCATGTATAATAAGTCAAACTTGGCTGATGGCTGGCTTTTATGGCGCTGGTAAATGTGGGAGATGTAAAGATGGGTCATCCATTCGCCACTTCAGGTTAAAGATAGTTGTTAATGCTCTTGTCTCGTCCTTTGCACTATATGGAGACACCAAAAGATACGTCAAAAGCCTACTTGAATCCACGTGAAGTACAGAAGTAGCCTTAAATGTATTGCCTTGCCTGATCCCTGTTTTTTAAAAAAAAAAAGTACTGAATGGCTGCTGAACTTTTTGGTAGGGGAAGAGAAACAGCCAGAGATCATGGTCAATGTTGAAAACAAACGTAGAAAAGAATTAAACAATTTCAGCAACTATGGAGGGAAGTTAAAGAATATTTTTCCAAGTTGACAATTTCTGGACAAGCCAAATATCATGTACTAGTTTATATATAAACAGTTAGCTAAAGCAAGTTAATGTGTGACTGACTGGAGAAAGGATGCAAAAGGGAGGGATTCTGATTCCTGGGCCCAGTTCTGGGGTGCAAGGATTAATAGGGATGGGACAAAGGTTGTCGTTTTTGGAGGCCATCATATCAGGCTCAGGACATTGCTATAGGAATTCCTCGACATGATGCTCTAACGTCCAAACATCTTCAATTGCCTGATCATTACCTTCCCTCCTCCTTAAGGTCAGAAGTTGTAATGTTCACTGTTAATTGCATAGCATTGGGTAGAATTCTAGTTTAAAAAATCTATAGTTTAAAAATCCTCTGGGTCTTTGAGCTGATATTTTACTCCCAGACCACGGTTATTTCATTAATATCTTTTATCGTCAGCAGTAGTGAAGTTTGTAGATATCGTTGATTTCTTGGATGTCTCTCTCAATTACCACCAGATGCTGCCTTTGGGAGTCTAAGAAAAACTGAGAAGACAGAGCATCTTCCAGTTCTGCTGTTACCATCCATTTGCCCTCTCCAAAAGCTGTTGCCTGAAATATAGTTCCCTTGTCTGTTCCCATGACCAGCATTTTAGTTATTTCAAGCAGGGTATTTTGTAGGTAGCTGTCACTGCAATATATTAACTTCCAGAAAGCTCTGAACCAACAGAGATACACAGGAGTTTGTGTCATTTTATAGCTCTCTAGCAATTTTGGCTCAGTCTGGTTCTTCATTGTTAGTTTCATAAGCTTGGTATTACCTGGTCAGGTGATCACTGGCCATCTTAAGTTGTATTTTTCCCATTTTTTAAAAAAGCATTTTATTTATGAAATGTCTGAGATATTAATATCAGATAATGTCCAGAGATGTGCAGGTTTAGTGGATTGGCCATGCTAAATTGCCCATCATGTCCAGGAATGTGCAAGCTAGGTGGCTTGGTCATGTAAGATGCAGGATTACAGGGATTTCAGAGGGTTGTTTTGGACTCTGGCTGAATGGCTTACTTCCACACTGTAGGGATTCTGTAAAGGATATCAATAAGCGTTTGCCCATTTTTACCACGAACTACACTGCGACAGCTCGTTAAGTCCCCTTCAACAGTACCTTTCACACCTGTGAGCTCTTGGATCAAAAAGGAAAAGAGAAGCAGATGGATGGGAGCACCACCATCTGCATATCTGTTCCAAGCCACATACTATCCAAACTTGGAACTATATGTACCTGTTCTTTCTCTGTCACTGGGACTGTCTTCCTAACAGTTCTGTCCGGGTACCTGTGACAAATGAAATGCAGCCATTCAAGACATCTTCCTGCCACCTTCTCTGGGAGAATTAGGAATTCCAAGCAATTCTGTAGTTTTAGTCTTCAGCTCTGTTGTAGTTTGATTTTTAGATGGACTCCTAAATAAATAGATGAATTTACCTCCCCAACCTGGCTACATGATGTCAATACTTCTGCATTAAATTGTCAGTGATTTTTGGTTGGCTAATAAAATTCAAGTTAATTACCTTCTTACATTAAAACAGTGATTAAACCTTTAAAGTACTATAAAATAGTTTTGAGGTAATGTTTATGAAAGATGCCATAGAAGACTTGCTTTTTTGTTCATTATTGCCTAAACTTTCCCCACTTGGAGCTCTTCTAGGCAGACCATTGCTTAAAAACCTGACGAGAGACTAATGGGCCAACTTGGTTGGGCTGTGTGCCTACAAGCATGCAAAGGTGGGAGCCAGTGACAAAACCCAGTCCAATATTGATCTAGAAATTTAAACTACCAATAACATACCATAGAATGGAATCAGTCTAACATGCTTAAGCAAGGGACATTGTACCATGCAGAAAATGCTAGGAAACAGGAGAGGGAGAAGTCATTTTACTCAGTCATAATTTTCAGGAACATGTCTACACTTTTAAGCAAGGGTTGTCTGTGTTTGTTATTTCCTACCTGCCCTTAACTGCATCTTTCCTCTCTGCTTCAGCTCATCCTACATCATATAAGAACAAACAAAATGCAGATTAGTCATTCCCTGGGTGCTCTCTGTCCACACAGGTGGACATGAAAGATCCATTGCATTCTTTTGAAGAACAGTTATTTCCAATGTTCCATTCTCTATTTGCCCATCAAGTAATATCAGCAAAAATGCAGAAAATCTAATCATTATCATATTGTTATTTGTGGGATCTTATGGTGATGTCATATGGTCATTGACTGCTGCTTTTCCTACATTTTAGCAGTGACTGCACTTTTAAAAGTCTTTCTTGGCTTTGAGAAATCTGATGGTGGTGGAATTACCACCATTTTAACAAATTCTTCCAAAGTAAGTGCCTGCTTAGTCATCTTGCTAAATGTTGCTAATAAAATAATGGCAATATTTTCATTTAACCATGTGAGTTACACTTCAATGTCTTTTGCCATAGTGCCCATGACCATTTCCTCTCTGTTTCTGGTTTCACACTCAGTCCCTCAGCTCCTGGCTCTCATTTCTACTTTCCATTCATATATTTAAAGTTCTCAATGTTTGTTGCAACGACTGGGGACTTCAGCTTCTCCCTGGCTCTCACCTTGTCTGCACACCAGCCTATTGGAATGCCACTTCCCACCCTCTGACTTGTAAAGTGATATTATTTGTTTGTGATACATTTGATCTTTAGGACCAAGTTTGTCTTTGGGAAGAAATTTCTATTTTTAGTGTATGTTTGCTTGTTAATGTTTAGAATATTATGCTGTAGATCAACTCAGCTAGGTGAAATTGTGGGGCTTGTGACCTAGTGCATAATTGAATGTGATTTTGGAAGTGAGTTTTGTTTGACCTGGTAATAGATTGTATGAATTGACTCATTAAAAGGTGAGTCACTTTTATTGACAAGTTAGTACTGTAGTGAATACAGAAAAAAAAACTAATGTGGTCAAACAAAATAACTTAGATTCATATAAGATCTTTAAGATAGCAATCTGTGTCAAGGTACTTCATAGGAGATTTCTATCAAACAAAATTTGATACCAAGCCACTAACTGGACAGATGACCCAAAACCCTGGTCAAAGAAAGGTAGAACAGTGGAGATCTTTCCTAACTTGAGCTATTTGATATGACTACCTTGATGTCTCTTCCACTTGTAGACTCAGCTATTTTAAATATTTCCCTGGCTTGCCACTCATCCTGTACACTCTGTGAATTTCTGTTTCCAAAGTTCTTGCATCGTATGCCCTACTTAAGTCCTGCTCATCTATGATCCTTAACTCATTGATCTATATTGGATATTAGTTGCCTAGTTTTTGAGTGTAAATCCATTATATTTTCCATACTCTCTTCCAGTTATACAATTGTGCACTTCACATCCTTCACTCCCCAGAAGTTTAAAAGGCCATATACTTCAACTAATCTGCTGTGCATTACAACATAACCTTAGTGCGTAGATTGCCAGCAGATGTGCCATGATATTTTTAAGTGCTTGAGATTTTCATTAAAAATTGGGATCTTCCTGGAAGTTGTATGATCTAGGCTCCAAACTCATTAGGAATAGACCTAGGATTTTGTAGAACTGGAATTTCAAGTTCTGGAAGTAATTTGAAGCATTCCCAGAATCTTTGTCCTGCTCTGTGAGCTGGTCTTATTGGTGCAGAAGTTTATAAGAAACATAAAAGTAGGTGCACTAGGATCACTGAGAGAAGAATGTAGGACCACTGACCTGATACCTACTGGACATTTGAGTCTTTCAAAGGAGCATTGTCTGATTTCAGGGTGGATGTGTGGTGAGTTGCAGCTCAACAGAGTATTGAACATGGGGGTGTTGTGATTGGATGCAGAATTCAGTAGTGTTTTAGGGCCTGGGCCAAGTAAATGGGAGCCAAAGAATACTCCTCCAGAATCTTTAAAATATTGACATCATACAATTCTTTTCCTCCTTAGTTTTCTTGTTTAAAGCATAGATTTTTCTCCTTAACAAAACTAAAAGATGGGAAATTAAGGGTGTTTTTTTTTTTTTTGAAATACAATTATGTTGTGTTTTTGGATTTGTGAACCAACTACTTTTGGCCTTTTTGGAAAATAAACGACATTTATAAATTCGTATAGAACTTTGCTCCTGTTGATGCACCATTTACATGTCAGAAAATTCTGAAAGCTGTACATACTAGACTTCACATTCATAGTCCAGTGCAAGCCCTGAATTTTAGTTGAGGCACATGGCTTAAGCTCAAGGTATGATGAACATATGTTTGTAAAATGAGTGTTGTCGTAAAGTCTGTTGTGACTAATTTTAAGGAAGGAAGGTAAGTAAAGGAAGCATTAACTTGAAGTATTTTTAATTACAACATGTTCACTTCATGCTTTGCAGTAAATTCTTATAAAGTACAACTATTGCTTCTTTCACAGTATCCTTGAGGTTGGGAGTGGGCATGTATTCTGTTGATATTTTTAAGTACACTTAGTTGAATGTTTCTGAAGGTAAAGGATTTACGGAATCCCTGTTTTCTTTTTTTAATAGGCTTCTCCCGATAAAATTGATTATGAGTATAGTGAACTGTTACTTTACCAGAATCAAGTACTGCGGGAAGGAGGGATGTATAAGGAGGCTTTGGAGCATCTCGACAATCATGAGAAACAAATTTGTGACAAATTGGCAGTGGAGGAGTGCCAAGGTAGAGCAGATGTCTCTATTTGTTACAACTTGTGAAAATGCTGAAACGTACTTACATTCCTGTTTTGTAATTTAAAGCATGAATACTTGAATTTAAATTGATGTATTTGGTTAAAAACTAATACTCAATGTCTTGCTATTTGTGCACTTCTGAAGAAATTATTCTATCTCAGGGTCATGTGCCAAATGGTGACAGAACAATTAAGTACAGTCAACCATTTTCATAACGTTGGCTTTTAAAAGGAGGTATTTTCTTTCTAATGCCATCAAAAATGTTATGGCATTTTTTTCTTTGGAAATAAAAGACAAATTCTTAGGATACTTTGTTGTCGTATAATTTTTAAATTTTCAAATAATATGAATTCATAGTCTTTTTGAATGGCTTGTGTTAGCCGCATGACTACCAACTGTATTTTGTCTGTCTTCAAAAGTTAATTACAGAAAGTAATCTCTAATTACACAGTGTATGCTCTTGTAGAATATACATTTTTTTCAGAAATTCCAAAGTTCGGTAACAAAAATAAATGAGCGTAATGTTTAGAAAAATATACTGGCAAATATTTTCTGCCCAATGGTAATTTCATACTTGAAAATTTAATGTAACGTAACGTAACCTGTTTTCAAACAGGAGAACTAATGTTAAAACTGAACAGACTAAAGGAGGCTGCAGAGGTTTACAGGCGATTGCTGGAGAGAAACCCTGAAAACTGGGCCTACTATGAAGGATTAGAAAAGGCACTGAGGCCTGGTGAGTTATATCTGAAAGTGTGGACTCTTCTCTTCTCAAGATGCCTAAAATAATAGAACATGGATTTTAACTGCTGTCCAGTTCTCAAACTATTCCAAAGGCCAGACAACTGTCTACACAGCTATATCTTGCTGTAAAATGGTGCAATCTTGATTTTCATTCTGTTTTCCACAAGCAAGTTTCAGGTCTTGGCTGAGAAAAGGTGCTCCTGAGTTGAATTTTTTATGGCATTTCAAGAGAGAGAACTTGAATTTGACATGCAAGCTTCCAAGGCCAAACTTTCTTTCCTAAATTAATCTTGATGTGGTTTTATGAAATTATAGTGATAAATTCCTGTCATGTAACTTTATTCAGGCTCCACCCTCCATCTTTGGAGACAATACTAAAAGTAAAATTTTAAGTAAGTTCACAAAGTAAAGGACCTGTCTGTGTCCATTGTAAAATGAATCTTTGCATGGAAGTATCAACTTCTTGCAGTTGGAAATGTAAAATAATTTGTGGGGTTTTCAGATGCTGTACTAAGACTGGGTATGTTAGTGGAATTACCATCCTAGCATGAGCTCTTTTCAGAGCCCTTCAATGGCTGACAGTAGTGTCTTACAGTCTTACAGTTTGCTTGTCTTTCTGAAGTGGGGAGAGGGTATTAGTTTTCAGGTAACTGAGTTGATACCTTGAAATATCATTTGGAACTTAAATGATTGCAGAGAAGAGAAAAGAAAAGTAGATTTACTAGATGTAAACCTCAACTTACTTTGAGAGAGAGTGGACAGTCAGCCATGATTTTTAAAAAAGTGGAAAGAAGCGTTAGCTTTCCATTGCTCTTCTTGCCAGTTTTCATTTTCTTTCCTCTGTTGTTGCATCAGAAATGCGATTGAGCTAAAGTTTCCACCGCCAAATACAAGTGCTGAGCCCGATTGTTGCAACTCTATTAACTCAACCAACACTTCTCTGCATCGTTCAGCGTTAAGATAATACTGAACCATTGAAGAGTTGGTGCTGAGCTTTTCAACCGTATTTATTTTTTGTCTATTGCAATCAGTTAGTTTGTTTTTTCTATTTCTATCTATAGTCAATGTGGAGGAGAGACTTGATGTCTATGAAAATGCTTGGACTAAGTATCCCAAAGGGCTGGTGCCTAGAAGGCTACCTCTTAACTTCTTATCTGGTGAGTGAAATTATATTTTCATTAATCTTTCAGTTTTGAAAATGCCATTTCATACCTTAAATTTTAAATGTTACATATGGACATTTTATACCTTATGACAATATTCATCAGTGGAATAATTACACACACTCATCATTGGATAAGGGCTCCATTACAGTGAAATAATCAGAGAGGCTTGGGTTGCTTCAGAAAGTGTGTATTGCAGCTTTGTTGGGAGAATTGATTGTTGTAAAAATACGAATTTTACCTCTTTTTATTTTAAGTGAAATGGAGTGCTGGCTGAGGTTTATGTGGATTAGCAAGCCCTGAAAAGTTCTCATAAATCCCTTAATTTGTTTTGCTTTTATTTCAAATACTCAGAATAAGACTTAATTATAATATAGTGACCTGTATGATATGTCCTTTTTTGTTAATTTGTGATTCTGGCACGTGGCGCAGCTGCTGTTCTATATGTTTTTGACTTTCTCTTAATGGCCTGTCTGAATGTCAACTATATTAGGAATTTGGTGATGTATTAGCCACCAGGAAAATAAGAAGCTGCACTTGGACTGGTTGTTCCAAGGAAATTGGAACAAGAGCAGATTTCTTTCTGTGAAAAAGAAATGGTTTAGACCATGTTAGTTGCCAAGCTTTTTTTGATGTATAGTAATTGGTTTAATGCTTTAAAACAGATTTGGAGTTGTAGAGAGAAATTTTGTAGAATGTGGCAGCATTTCTAAATTGTGCTTAAAAAGTTGATTGAGATTGTGGCCAAAAGGAACGGATTGATATATACTTAAGTTGCCATGAATGAAAGTGGAACAGTCTGATCCAATTTACACTAGAACCTTGGATGTAATTGGGCTACATATACTATCCTAGTTTTCTTTGTTTTTTGGGTTATGATGTGGCATTGCTGGCTAGATGAGCATTTATTTCCCATCCCTAATTACTGTTGAGAATGTGGTGATTAGCTGCAGCCATGAACTGCTTCAGTCCTTGGGGCATAGGTACGTAGAGGTGAGTTCCAAGACTTTTACCTTACTAGTGAAGGACTGGCCAAGATCAAAGTCAGGGTGCTGTGTGTCTTGAAGGGGATCTTGCCAATTTGTGGTAGTCCCATGCACAAAGATTGGTGTTGTCTTCAAGATTCATAGAGCCTCTGACAGCAAGTTAACTGCTTACTTGATGTTTTATCCAGTTGAGTTTTCCAAAAATGGCAGGTAATGTTGCCGTTGTCCCATGAATGGGAGCAGTGTTGCAACCATTAAATTTAACCCCTGTAAATTAAGTTTCAAATTTGAGGGTTTTTTCTTTAAATCGAGATATTTCTAGATTGAATTTTAAAAGTGATTTTGTGCATTGCTGACGTTCATGCACACTAGGGACGATGTCTTAAAAGTATATTTAAATATAGAATGATACAACCTAACAGAGCTAAAAATGAAAATAATTGAGCGTAGCAGTAACTGGAGACAAAGGCTTAAATAAATAGAATTGTCTTAAATTTTAAAAATCAGCGTCATATTGCTCGTGGAATAGGATCATTGGCCTCAGCCAACGTATCAACTTTTAAAAAAGTCTGTCCACTTGACTTTGACCCATTAACTGTTGTTACTGGATGTCTTCTACCTGCCAGATTAGCTACAAGTAAATCTTTTCTCTCTCCCTCCGCATCCCCCCAATTGATCTGTCATCTCTTATGGGTGTTTTTATTTAAGAAGCTGAAACAAATGCAGAGAATACTAGAGAAACTTAAGTCTGGCATCTGTAGAGAGGGAAACAGAACTAACATTTCAAGTCTAGTAAGACACTCCACTATGTTCTAAAGAAGGGAGGTTGTCAGAATTCCCTCCACGTTCCTGATTGCTTAGTCATACAGCAATCCAGAAATTACTCTGCACCAGAAGTAGTCCCTTTGAAATGTATATGCTGTGCTCTTACATGGCAGTCTTAAAGAGACAGACTCATTAAGGAGAGAATGCCTAACTCTTAAAGACATATCGGAAAGAGGCATCGTCAGAGGCTAAATTAATAAGTTTAAACATTGTACGTCTGCCCTTTCAATGTTATACATTGTTGAAAAGGTTAGTAGTAGCCCAGAAGATTTGTCAAATTTTGGACACTAACAAATGAATAAAAATAATAGAGGGAGAAATTGGAGTATGAGAGATAATTAGTGAGAAATAAATGCAAACAAGAAAAATTTTCACAAGCATATAATATCAAGAAATTAACTGATGTAAACTTTGGTTCCATACAGGTTTTAACTTTGAAATCAATAGTAAACAAGGGAATGTTAGAGACTTTGAACAAGTATTTTATATTTATCTTTACAATATTAGTCTTATATGAATCTGATACTTCACTATAAGATGATTACTAGAAAGTAAAGAGGCAAAGGGAGAGAGAAACTTTAAAAGATTGCTAGAGAAAAGAATACTAGAAATAATAATTGGACTAAAGGCTAACAAGACCACTCCACATGATGGCCTGCATTGTAGCATTTAAAAGAAATGAAGAGATAGTGGATGCGTTTGTTGTAACCTTCCAAAATTTCCCCAAATCTAAAAAGGCTCCCAGCAGGTTGAAAAAGTGCAAACACAATAACACCAATGAGCAAGGGAGAACCAGGAAGCTAGACCAGTTGATCTGATTAGCAGTTCGTCATTAGATTATCTATCATTGGGGAAAGTGCAATCCATTATTAAAGGAGTAGTAGCAGAACATTTAGAAAATCATAATATAGGCAGAGTCTTAATGGATTTGTAAAGGGGAAATGGTGTTTGACAAATTTATTAGAGATCTTTACAGATTTAACAAATGGGTTGGATAGTGGACAGCTCTTACATCTAGCATGTTTGGATTTTGAAAAGACTTTTGATAAATTGCCACAGATGGTCACAGAATCAGGTAAGAGCTCGTGTATAGCGGATGAGAGATTAGAATGAATAGAGGATTAATTAACAGACAGCAGAGAGATCTGGATAGATGGATTATTTTCAGGTTGGCAAAGTAGCTTGTAAGTGTCACAGGAATTGGGACTGGGGCCTCAACTATTTATTATCAAACTTAATAATTTGAATGAAGGGACAGACTGTATTGTAGCCATATTTGCTGATGATGCAAAAATAAACAAAGGCAAACTAAGAATGCAAAGAGTGTGCAAAAAGGGATTACAGTGAGTTGGCAAAGAAAATTGGTAAATAGAATATAATATGTGAAAATGGGAGGTTGTCATTTTGGTAGGAAGAATAAAAAGTTAAAACATTATTGAAATAGAAAGAGACACAGAATGCTTGAGGAAAAAGGGATCTAGCTGTCTTTGTACAGGAATCTCAAAGTCAGCATGTAGGTGCAGTGCAGAAGGTCATTGGGTAGGTAAACGGAAGGGTTTGGAGTTTAAAGTAGGGAAGTCTGTGGGGCATACAGTTTTGATTGCCTTTCTTAAGGAGAGAGATATTTGCATTGGAAGCAATTCAGAAGATTCATAAGGTGGATTTCCGGGATGAAGGTGTTATAAGAATAGGTTGAGCAGCTTAGTGCTGTACTCATTTGTGTTTAAAAGAATGAGTGGTCATCCATTTTAAACATAAGGTCTGAGCAGGCTTTACAGGGTAGAGGAAGAAAGAATGTTTCCCCTTGTGGGCGTTCTAGAACTGAAGGGGTACAGTTTAGAAATGAGCATCTCTGCGGAAACAAATTCTGTGGACTGAACCGTTGTCTAACCCAGCCTTGTATGTTTACGTACTTTTGATCGACAAAAGTTTAAGATCATTTGGGACGTTAGAAGAAGCGGAATAAATGTTATATCTGATCAGCCGAGGTCATCTCGAACAATGAATCAGATTAGAAGGACCAAACTCCTTAAGTCTGGTGACCCTTGTGGCAGAGTGGTATAATAAATATATCCCAGTGATTAGAGAGAACATTGGAGGTCATCCATATTGCTTTGCATTCTATCTTCGTTATAGGCTTTAGGAAAACAATTTAGGAATTTCTTATAGCATTTGATTTGTTCATTGCAGGTTCAATGAGCCGTTGGATATACCATAGCAAAGTTGTTGCAGTTTTGGTCCTGTCCACTAATCTTGAGTTCTGCTAATTGAGTTTGTTGTTGGTAAAAGCTTTCCACCAGTATTTGGTGGTTCTGACTGAGTTGCTTTTCTACATACAATCTCAAAATTACATCAGGAAGGATATTATATATCAGCTGTTTAGGGCCACTGGTGAGACACTGTCTCAATACTTTGTGTAATTTTGATCTCATTATTTCAGGAAGGATGTAAATGTACTGGAGGTAGCTCAAGGATACTTACTGGATTGATGACTGCAGTGAACGGGTTGACTTGAGGATAGATTGAACCAGGCGTATCAGGGATGACTTGATTAAAGTTTCAATTCGCCTGAATTGTCTTGACAAGGTGGATGTGGAAAGACTCATTCCTCTTGGGTCAGTCCAGTACTAGGGGTCACCCTTTTCTTTTATCTGATGGTTGCGCAACTGTGGAACCTTGCCTCAGAATATGGCGAAAACATGTCATTGAATATCTTTATAGAATAGGTAGATAAATCTTTTGTTTGGCAATAGATTGGAGCTTCCTGGGGGACTGATGGAATGTGAAATTTAAAACACAAGTTGATCAGCCATTTTTTTGTGAATGGTGGAGCAAGCCTGGAAAGTATATTTCGGTTCCTATTTCATATGTTTGTATCACGTAAGCTGAGGTCCTTTTTTAATATCTTTGTAGTTTGAGCCACAAATTTCCACTATTTACTTAAGATGAACACAAATTAAAAACAAAAGATGTAGGTTACAACGTATTAGAACATTGGTGTTATATATGGAGTAGGGGGTGTTTCTGTCTTCACTGATGCTGCCAGACCTGCTGAGTGTCTCAAGCATTTTCTGTTTTTAATCCTATCTCTGTTTTGTCCTTCCCTCTTCCTTGATTATGGAGGATGTAATGATGTATTTTATACATATTTCAGAGGAAACTATGATTATGTTGCTCTTGGAATGGTCAATGCCTGAATGCTTTTCTGTCTGTCCTTGTCCATGCAAAAGTATTCTGAAAACTCTATTTCAAATACTGGTTGTATGTTCTGTTAGAAATCATGTTCAGTAATTAAAGTCTGCTGAACTGTTTTTCATCCTGCCAGGGGAAAAATTCCGGGAAGTTTTGGACAAATATTTAAGGATAAATTTCAGCAAAGGCTGTCCTCCTGTGTTTACAACTCTGAAATCATTATACAATGATAAAGAGAAGGTAAATTTTTTCATATTGGTGTCAGAGCTTTTGAATTTTTAATTTTGTTTGAAAGAGAAAACTAAAAGTGTCTTATTATTTCCATAGGTATCGATTCTAGAAGAATTAGTGGTTGGGTATGAAACATCTTTGAAAAGTTGCAACCTCTTTAACCCGAATGGTATGTTTTTATGTTTATACATACATGACTTAAATTTGAACCTGCTTCCATTCTTAAACCCATCAAATATGTACAATTTTGGATAGCAGTGTTGGTATGCCTCTATTCATCAACAACTGATAATCTTAAATATGCAGTTAGATTTTAATCATCTAGAACGCCCTTGTCCTATTATCTTAAGGTGAAGCCATGTGTCATGACTCTTCAGTTGACTTACTATATTAATATAATGGCCTTCACTTTTTTAAAAAACAAGGCCTCCATAGTGTGTTGAAGTGCACCTAGAGCCTCACTATTGTGTGTTTTTTTAAAATACTACTTTTTAAATACTGGTTTATTTCTGAAGCTTCAAGACAGTTTCCTATTTATTTCTGTCAAATGTAGCAGTTTTGGCTCCTCAGTTTTCTTTTTGGTTCCTTTCAATTTTTGAGAGCAAGAAAGCTTAGAAGTCACTTATTGGGTAAGTAGCAGGAAATGAAATGATACAACCACCATAAGCATCAAATACTCAGGTCAGGTACAAGTTAAATCCTTTTCAAGTGTTTCTGTAATATTGAATGGTATTTCCCAAGTCTGAAATTTGTATTGGGCAACTACTTGTATGACACTAACAAGAACTTATCACCGTGCTTAAGATGCTGAAACAAGTTTATTGAAAGATTTCTGTTTTGTCTGAATTGGAGTATGTATTCCCTTTATAAACACAGGCTCCAAAATCCTAGGAATTTTGAAGTAAATTGTTGAGAGATGAGGCCGAGGAAATTCCCAGGAAGTGTCGATAGGGTTTTGCTTTATGTAATCAGTTAAAGCCATGCATTCCACTAACATAGGTCAAGGTCAAGTCTCCTACTTGTTCAGCCAGAACCATCTTTAGTTCAAGTTCATTTAGAGCCAACTAGAACTCTAGAACTGCAACCTGAGTAAAATTAACAAATTGCAGAAAACTTTATCCAGTTGGCTGTACACAGTCTGAACAATTTGAGAGCCCTGATCTGAACAGCTACTGTTGGGTTCTTTTTTAAAAGTGACATGCTAAAAAGCAGGGTATGTCCTGCCATGTAAATGGTAAAGTGAAGAAAATTAATTTTCAACTTCCATTAACTGATTTTTAATCATTGAGGCATTCATAGATTGGAATGGTTTTTAGAAACATGGACTTGAAGTAGCTGCATTAATCACTTACTGCAAATTGAAGCAAGTTCAGGAAACCAGTGTGGAATAAGTAAAATAACCTGAATTGAAATTTGCATTTATCTGTAGTCATTAAAACCAGACAACAAAGTGAGGTGTCATGAACATCGCATCTCTTGTTTTAATTTGCATTCAGCAACCAAGAACCTTGTTCCTGGAATTCTTTCCTTTAAACAACACTTTTGCTGCACCTTTCATTCTTCTTTGAAATGTTCCTTAATAATTTTTGCTTTTTGTCCAGTCTTTTGTTCACATACCTTCATATCTTTTATAGTTTATATAAGCCTGGCTTCTTAATTAGCCTGTGAAGAACTCTGGGGTTTTATATGTCATCTAAATGCAGGTTGTATTGGATAATTTTGCCTTTGGTTTGCATGCTTGTCCAGAAACTAATTAAGATTCCATTTGAACTTCGTTTTCCTCTTCCATTTGTAGATGATGGAAACCTAGAACCACCTACTACTAGATTGTGGGTCCAGTACTTTTTAGCCCAACATTATGATAGAATTGGACAACCCTCTCTGGCCTTGGAATACATCAATGCTGCAATTGAAAGTACCCCAACTCTCATAGAATTGTTCCTTGTTAAGGCCAAAATCTACAAGGTAAAATTATAGAAGAATGATTGTATTTCTCAAATTTGGAATGTTTATATTGTTAAGTGTCAAAAATTTCTAATGCTCCTAATTTCTTTCTGCTCAGTCGATACCAATTTGGCAATGCAGTTTTAAAAAGAAACGTTTCCGATGATGCTGAAAGTTTAGATGAAGCAGTTATAAATTGAATGTAGAAATTGCAAATTGCTTTATTATAAGAATGTAATTTAAAAGTTTACTGGATCTGCAATTTATTTGAAGTGTAAATGTTTTAAAGCAGATGGTTACAAGTGTTTAATATAAGTAAACTAAACATTTGTGTTTGCAATTAAATTTGTGCCATTAAACTGTATTATTTCCTTCTGTCTAATGAGTTGTTACTTCCCATGTAGCATGCCGGAAATATAAAGGAAGCTGCCAAATGGATGGATGAGGCTCAAGCCTTAGATACAGCTGACAGATTTATAAATTCCAAATGTGCTAAATACATGCTAAAGGCCAACCTTGTGAAGGAAGCTGAGGACATGTGTTCCAAGTTTACGAGAGTTGGTATCTTCTTTGCTACTTAATTGTACAGTTTGAACAGCTGTATTAAATATAAACTGAATTATAATTTGCATACTAATAGCATGTGAATTTGATTTTTTAATATTAATCATTTGTGCATGATTTTATGTTACTATTGATAGCACTTAATAATAAAGGTACTGGTTTGCTGTCGAATAAAAAGAACCTTTAAAAGCAGATCCTATAATAAATGCTATATACTGGTAAATAAAATATAGTAAAGGTCTATTAAATGCATTTTTTTAGTTTAACCTTTTTTTTTCTTGGTAGTTTAACTGAAGTACTTAGTAACTAACTAATCAAATAACTTAGCTAAGCTTACCATTCTGGTTATTTTTGTTGAATGTCCTTACCAGCCATAATAGTTTACTGAGATAAAATATAATTTCTACATCTTGTGTCACTGCATTTCCAGGTTACATGCTGAGTTGTAACTTTGTTTAATTAGGAAGGAACGGCTGCAGTGGACAATCTGAATGAGATGCAGTGTATGTGGTTCCAGACAGAGTGTGCTCTGGCCTATCAGTCAATGAACAAATATGGAGAAGCTCTGAAAAAGTGCCATGAAATAGAGAGGGTAAGTTCAAGGAAACTTGAAATAACTACTTTGCCATTTCAGGAGTAGAGTGTAAGGAGGGGGTAAATCAAGTCCCAGATAATTTCCAACAATGCAAAACAAAAAGTACTGTGATTTCCCCCCTTTGTCTTTGTATTGGTTCTCTAAAAAAGTGAACGTTTGTTTGTTGGACTGTTGCTGTGTTTCAGGCTAGATTTCATGTGCATAGTATTTTCTGAGCCAAGTCTCACCTTCATCTTCTAGTATGAATGGGTTAGTGTAGCCAAAGCTTAACTATTAACGTAGAATTGCGGTCAGTTACCTACTGAAAAATGCATAGTCCCCCATCAGGCGGGCAGCTGAAAAATAAAGCTGTCAGATTTTGTACAGATTGAACTATTTGTTCAGTTTAACTTCCAAATGTAGATAAAGGAATGTGTTGATTTTAAAAAATCATAGTGCCCTGCAAACAGATTCCACTGTTTAAATAGAAAATTCCTGCACCTCTTGTAATTTATATAAAATCACTTAATATATTCCTATTCTGCATAAAGGATACAGCTCTCTAGATTATTAAATATAAAAACTATTCTCATTTAAAGTATTCTAAAAGGCAAACTAAGAGGAAGCAATGAGCAAGTGATTTTGGAAATAATTAATTTTTAATTCGTCACTTTGTTCCAGTAAAGATTTAGACTGGTTCTAAACTCCCAAGTTGTGGACTGAAACATTGGAGATAATTTAGAAGAGATATTTACTCTAGAAAATAGTGGCCAAGAGCTAATTTTGTGCAACCTCCAAGTGTTGGTTGCATACAGAATAATTTAGCCACAGAAGACAGGAATGTTCACCTTTTAAAACGTAAAAATGTGTGTTCTAAAATCTCAAAATAAATACAAATTTATATTTTGTTACTCAATGCAACTAATCTGGAGTCTGGAATTTTTTTCCACTGTAAGACATGACCAGTTACTGATTGAAATAGCTTTTAACCCAATTATATTGATGCTTGCTTTGTTAAATTCACATACACAGTCATTTATTCCCCTTCACCAAAAGCTTAATTAGTACTTCAGACAACATTGTGCTCTCTATTTTAAACTTTAGTCTGTTGACTGAGAATACCGTGGTTAAAGAAAGCTATCCCAACTCTTCCCAGTAGATGCTGAGTTGATTTTGATGCACTCTGATATTGTGGTATGTATTTCTTTCTTGCTGTTTCTGACTTGGTAGTTTCCCATATGGTGATAGTTAATATTCTGCCAAGTGATCATTTTAGATTCAACAGTTAAGATTTCTGTGGCTGTGGGACTTCGATGTTGTGGCCATTTCGGAGACATGGATAGAGCAGGGACAGGAATGGTTGTTGCAGGTTCCGGGGTTTAGATGTTTCAGTAAGATCAGGGAAGGTGGTAAAAGAGGGGGAGGTGTGGCATTGTTAGTCAAGGACAGTATTACGGTGGCAGAAAGGACGTTTGATGACAACTCGTCTACTGAGGTAGTATGGGCTGAGGTTAGAACCAGGAAAGGAGAGGTCACCCTGTTGGGAGTTTTCTATAGGCCTCCGAAAAGTTCCAGAGATGTCGAGGAAAAGATTGCAAAGATGATTCTGGATAGGAGCGAAAGTAACAGGGTAGTTGTTATGGGGGACTTTAACTTTCCAAATATTGACTGGAAACGCTATAGTTCGAGTACTTCAGATGGGTCAGTTTTTGTCCAATGTGTGCAGGAGGGTTTCCTGACACAGTATGTAGATAGGCCAACAAGAGGCGAGGCCACATTGGATTTGGTACTGGGTAATGAACCAGGCCAGGTGTTAGATTTGGAGGTAGGTGAGCACTTTGGTGATAGTGACCACAATTTGGTTACGTTTACTTTAGCGATGGAAAGGGATCGTATATAAAGCAGGGCAAGAGTTATAGCTGGGGGAAAGGCAATTATGAGGCGATGAGGCAAGATTTAGGATGCATAGGATGGAGAAGGAAACTGCAGGGGCTGGGCACAATTGAAATGTGGAGCTTGTTCAAGGAACAGCTACTGCGTGTCCTTGAGAAGTATGTACCTGTCAGGCAGGGAGGAAGTGGTCGAGCGAGGGAACCGTGGTTTACTAAAGAAGTTGAATCTCTTGTCAAGAGGAAGAAGGAGGCTTATGTAGAGATGAGGCGTGAAGGCTCAGTTAGGGCGCTTGAGAGTTACAAGTTAGCCAGGAAGGACCTAAAGAGAGAGCTAAGAAGAGCCAGGAGGGGACATGAGAAGTCTTTAGCAGGTAGAATCAAGGAAAACCCTAAAGCTTTCTATAGGTATGTCAGGAATAAAAGAATGACTAGCGTAAGATTGGGGCCGGTCAAGGACAGTAGTGGGAAGTTGTGCGTGGAGTCCGAAGAGATAGGAGAGGTGCTAAATGAATATTTTTCGTCAGTATTCACGCAGGAAAAAGACAATGTAGTCGAGGAGAATACTGAGATACAATCTATTAGACTAGACGGGATTGAGGTTCATAAGGAGGAGGTGTTAGCAATTCTGGAAGGTGTGAAAATAGATAAGTCCCCTGGGCCGGATGGGATTTATCCTAGGATTCTCTGGGAAGCCAGAGAGGAGATTGCAGAGCCTTTGGCTTTGATCTTTATGTCGTCATTGTCTTCAGGAATAGTGCCAGAAGACTGGAGACTAGCAAATGTTGTCCCCTTGTTCAAGAAGGGGAGTAGAGACAACCCTGGTAATTATAGACCAGTGAGCCTTACTTCGGTTGTGGGTAAAGTGTTGGAAAGGATTATAAGAGATAGGATTTATAATCATCTAGAAAGGAATAATTTGATTAGGGATAGTCAACACGGTTTTGTGAAGGGTAGGTCGTGCCTCACAAACCTTATTGAGTTCTTCGAGAAGGTGACCAAACAGGTGGATGAGGGTAAAGCGGTTGATGTGATGTATTTGGATTTCAGTAAAGCGTTTGATAAGGTTCCCCATGCTAGGCTATTGCAGAAAATACGGAGGCATGGGATTGAGGGTGATTTAACGGTTTGGATCAGAAATTGGCTAGCTGTAAGAAGACAGAGGGTGGTGGCTGATGGGAAATGTTCATCCTGGAGTTCAGTTACTAGTGGTGTACCTCAAGGATCTGTTTTGGGGCCACTGCTGTTTGTCATTTTTATAAACAACCTGGATGAGGGCGTAGAAGGATGGGTTAGTAAATTTGCGGATGACACCAAAGTCGGTGGAGTTGTGGATAGTGCGGAAGGATGTTGCAGGTTACAGAGGGATATAGATAAGCTGCAGAGCTGGGCTGAGAGGTGGCAAATGGAGTTTAATGCGGAAAAGTGTGAGGTGATTCACTTTGGAAGGAGTAACAGGAATACAGAGTACTGGGCTAATGGTAAGATTCTTGGTAGTGTGGATGAGCAGAAAGATCTCGGTGTCCATGTGCATAGATCACTGAAAGTTGCCACCCAGGTTGATAGCGTTGTTAAGAAGGCGTACAGTATGTTAGGTTTTATTGGTAGAGGGATTGAGTTTCGGAGCCATGAGGTCATGTTGCAGCTGTACAAAACTCTGGTGCGGCCGCACTTGGAGTATTGCGTACAGTTCTGGTCACCGCATTATAGGAAGGATGTGGAAGCATTGGAAAGGGTGCAGAGGAGATTTACCAGGATGTTGCCGGGTATGGAGGGAAGGTCTTATGAGGAAAGGCTGAGGGTCTTGAGGCTGTTTTCGTTAGAGAGAAGAAGGTTAAGAGGTGACTTGATAGAGACATACAAGATGATCAGAGGATTAGATAGGGTGGACAGTGGGAGCCTTTTTCCTCAGATGGTGATGGCTAGCACGAGGGGACGTAGCTTTAAATTGAGGGGTGATAGATATAGGACAGATGTCAGAGGTACGTTCTTTACTCAGAGTAGTAAGGGCGTGGAATGCCCTGCCTGCAAAAATAGTAGACTTGCCCACTTTAAGGGCATTTAAATGGTCATTGGATAAACATATGGATGATAATGGAATAGTTTAGGTTAGATGGGCTTCAGATTGGTTTCACAGGTCGGCGCAACATCGAGGGCCGAAGGGCCAGTACTGCGCTGTAATGTTCTATGTAAACTGGAATTTAAAAACTGCTATATTTACATCATTGTAGATGTAGACTAGCAGGAAGTCTTTGTGGTAAGTGCATTCAGACAAAATCTGTTTGCTGGAAACTACATTGAAGCCAAGTGAACAGTTTTATCATATCCATTGCCTAAAATTAATAGAATGCAAGTTGTCTAAAACTTGGTCAGATTTTACTAATCAATTTGGAAATTAAGTGTTAAATTTTACAAGTGAAATCAGTATCTGATGTGTAATGTCAGATGAATGTCTATAATGGATTTTATTCTTCAGCTTTGTGTATTACATTACAAAACAAAACCTCGTGCCATAGTTTCATGGATTGAAACTTTTGTTTCTTTCCTCCACTGTATCTGTGTATGCAAAACTGGTTTCTTGTAGTCATTTGCTTTTTAACAATATTGTTGACCAAGAAACAGTGCTATAACCGATACCTTCAGTAATTCTAAATGTACTCTCCAGACAGGAAACTCGTTGGATTCAGTGAAATTTGGCTTTTGCAGTCTCCCAGCCTCTGCCCCCATTAATATTGCTTTCCATTGACTTTCCTGAGAAGAGAACTCTGATATTGTGTAAAATTTACATTGTGTCAATTCTTGTCTGCATGTTTGCAGATTGATTAAGTTGAAGTTGTTCCCAGTAAGTTAGTTTATAATTGCCATTGAACATTTATGTTCTGAACTGTGCCCAAAAAGCATCAACGATACTGGTGTCAGGAGTTTAATATCT